GACTGAGTGCACCTCCCTTTCTGTGTCAGCTCTTTGAAACTTTATCAGCTCTTGCAGCCCGAACAGGTGCAACACCTTATCTGTACCTGTCATTATTTGCCCTTTCCTTTAATATCCTCACTTAACTACAGGTTAGTTTTGGATCCAGGACAGAACCCGGAGCAAGCTAACCTTGAGGCCCTTTCTCAGGGGAGGGGGCAGGGGACAGGGGACGCTCAAGAGGCAGGAGAGGGCACACACTTGAGACACACCTGGCTTTGAACCTTGGCTCTGCTGCCTGAGAGCTGTGTGACCTTGAACAAATTCTCTCCCCTCTTGGAACCTCAGTTTCCTTGGTGGGAGATGGTTGGCTCACTAAAACCTCCTTCACAGGACTGCTTTGGGGATTAAGTGGAGTAACTGGGAACATGCAAATGGGAAAAAGGTTTGTCTTTTCTGACGCCAGGGAATATGTTTTTCTTGGCTTGACTCCACCCTGCTTCTATCACACCCAAACTAGGATGGAGCCTACCTCTTGCGGGGGCTGCCCAGCTCTGGGGAAACCCTCCTAACACACTGGGCCCCCTTCTGCTGTCTCCCCGATGTCCAGATCTCACTGGGGACAGTAGACAGAGGATCCATTTCCATTCACTCAACTCTGGTCTTGTCCACCGTGGACTTCCAGGGCCTGTGGCAGTGCCTGGGTGCCTGGTGAGAACCCAGCAAACGTGTGTGACATAAATGGATTCCAGACTCTGTGCTGAAGGCTTATGAAAACCAACAAGAAGCCTTCTTCCCGGTTCCTTGATGATGAATTGCAGGGGCAGGGTGAGGGTACAAATGGGGAATAACCAGTACGTTGTCCTTCAAGGCTAAATGCAAAGATCACTTTCTTTTTTTTTTTTTTTTTCAACGTTTTTATTTATTCTTCGGACAGAGAGAGACAGAGCATGAACGGGGGAGGGGCAGAGAGAGAGGGAGACACAGAATCGGAAACAGGCTCCAGGCTCTGAGCCATCCGCCCAGAGCCTGACGCGGGGCTCGAACTCCCGGACCGCGAGATCGTGACGTGGCTGACGTCGGACGCTTAACCGACTGCGCCACTCAGGCGCCCCGAAGATCACTTTCTTTAATGGAAGACTCTTCTGGCACCCTCGCCTCCTTCAGATTCCCTCGATGTACATTTCTGAAGCTCCCTAAGCTTCTCCATCAAAGTACATGCCCAGGGGTAATTGATAAGGTATTGGGTAATTGTTTTCTGCTCTATGTCTATTCCCTCCACGAGAACGTCCGCAGCAGAGACCACATCTGTCTTGTTTATCTCTGGATCTCAGCATCTCACACAGTGTGGAGAACAACAACAACAAAATCATTTGTTGCATGAATGAGTCAGTGAAGAAATGAACGGGAAGAGCTCGCCGTCCAAGAAGGAAGGCGGACGGGTAAGCTGATGTGTGTGGAGAGTGCCATCTGCAATTCAGCTCTGTAGAACGTGGAGCTGGAGGATGGCCACGGGATCCAGCTGGGAATGATGGAGGAAAGGCTTCCCCCAACAGACGACATGGGTTGTAGGCTGGGAGGGTGGAGTCTTTGCAGACACAGAACGGGGTGTTCTGCCCCCAGCAGAAGGATATTCCATTGCAAAATATCCTCCAAAATATTTTTTTTATGCTCAAATCCTTGCCTAAGGATCTGCTTCTGGGAGAACCCAGTGAGCTCGGGCTGCCATAAATGACAGATGTTTATTTCTGGAGCACAGAGTCCTGAAGGCTGCAAGTCAAAGGTCAAGGTGTTAGCAGACTTGGTTTCTCCTGGGGCCTCTCTCCTGGGTGTGCCGGTGGCCACCTCTTCACTGTGCCTTCAAACGGCCTTTGCTCTGTGTGCACACATTCTTGATGTCTCTTCCACCTCTTATAAGGATTCCAGTCCTATCAGATTAGGGCCCCACCCTTGACCTTAATTACCTCTTTTTTTTTTTTAATGTTTCTTTATTCTTGAGAGAGAAGAAACTGCAAGTGGGGAAGGGGCAGAGAGAGGCGGAGACACAGGATCCTAAGCAAGTTCCAGGTTCTGAGCCATCAACACAGAGCCCAACGCGTGCTTGAACCCGCAAACCATGAGATCACGACCTGAGCCGAAGTCGGACACTCAGCCGACTGAGCCACCAACCTTAATTACCTCTATAAGGCTCTTATCTCCAAATACAGTCACACTGGGGATTAGTGAACACAATTCAGTCTCTAGTGAGGCAAATCAGCTAAAAGGAAGGGGGGGCCCAGAGAGGTGAGCCAGGAGAGGCCCGATTCTGGGAGAGTGTCCAGAGTAGTGGGGAATGCAGATTATAGTCCAGACCTCGGGAGCCATATGGGATTGAGGGTTCTGAGATATCCATACATACATGGGGTGGGAAGGCCGATTAGCAGGCTGGAGGGTAGGGGTCATGGGCTTCAACCACAGGGAAGAGGATGCGGGCAAGACAGCAGGATCCAGGATTCAGTAATTTATCTGCCATATCATTTCATCCTCCTTCACCAAGGTATTGAAATATACGTAGACACTTTTCCAAAGAAGATGTCCCGATGGCCAGCGGACACATGAACAGACGCTCAGCGTGGCTCATCATCAGGGAACTACAAATCAAAACCACACTGAGATACTACTGCCTCACACTGGTCAGAGTGGCTAAAATTAACAACTCAGGAAACGAGATGCTGGCGAGGAACCCTCTTGCACTGTTGGTGGGAAAGCCAACTGGTGCAGCCGCTCTGGAAAACAGTGTGGAGGTTCCTCAAAAAATTAAAAACAGAACTACCCTGCGACCTAGCAATAGCCCTACTAGGAATTTATCCAGAGGATATGGGAGTGCTGATTCATAGGGGCACATGTACCCCGCAGCACTATTAACAATAGCCAATGCTATTGGAGAACGCTGTGGTTACTGTTCATTGTGTCCCATTTACGAAACCTTTGGGTGCCCAGCGCACTGTAGCTGCTGGAGCAGAAACTGGGGCATGAAGGTGGCCAGTAGGAAGGTGGCCAATTTGCGGGGCAAATTGAAGGCATGGGGGTGGGGGTGGGGGGCTCAGCCTGAAAAAGAGAACTTTCGGGGACAAACATGATAATGATTGTAGCAGGTGCTATTGGGGCCCCATGCATATCCCCTTATCGTTCACTTCTGTGAGCCAAAGTCTGCTTATTGAGGACACCTGCCCCTGCCTCAGAGCCTTTCCCCTGATCCCAAGCACGCTTGGCCCGCTCCTAGGACAAGACAGGGATGATGGGGTGCAGCCTTCAGTCACTGACAAGCAGAGAGGTGGAGAGTTAGTATCCCCACTTCTTCACCCCACAGTCGGGCCAACTCAGGCTTGTTCTGCACAGGTGCCCCGAGCCCCTCAGAGCCACCCCCACGCCGTGGCTGCTCCTGCCAGTAACCTGCGTGATCACCCGCCTCCGTGTTGGTGTCCTGTCCCCCACCTCCTGTCCCCTCTCCTCGACTGGTGTCTTCTGGGATCACGAATTGCTTGCACTGGGGTCCTCTTCTCCTCTCCTGTTTGAGGGGAACCCAAACTAAAACAATGGTCTTCAAATCGGCCAAAACCTCAATTTCTTCATCTTCTAACAGAAGCTAAGAGAAATTAGGCATTTTTAAACAGATCTGGTGAATTGGTGGAAGCAATGAAAATATAGATTTCAGCCAATTTTTTTTTTTGAGAGAGAGAGAGAGAGAGAGAGAGTGAAGAGGAGAGGGGCAGAAGGAAAGAGAGAGAGAATCCCAAGCATGCTCCAAGCTCAGTGCAGAGCCTGTAGTGGGGCTCAATCCCACGACCCTGGGATCATGGCCTGAGCCAAAATGAAGAGTCGGACGCTCAGCCAACTGAGCCACCCAGACACCCCAGATTTCAGCCAAATTTTAAAAAGAACCTAAAAAGACTTTGTCAAAGTCTGAGCTGTCTTAGCTTGTGACAAGGTCAGCAGTGAGTTCAGAACTGTAGTCAAAACAGTCTGGATGACTTGGGTGGGTGGTTGGGGGTGGGTGTTGTTTTAAAGGGTCTCAGACAGCTCTGAAAAATTCTATGGTTCTAGATGGCTAGTGGATTTTTTTCTTTTACCTTAAACTCAAAATGTTAAAGCCCCAGGAGGCATCATCTGGAGGATGGGGGTGGATATGACTGAACACAGTGTTATGAAATACAGATGTGAAAGTCCCTCTCTACCTGCCCCCCAGACTCTCCTGGGGAAATTCACTGCCCCATTCTAGAATTCACTTTCCCCATTTTGGCCAAATCTGGCTAATATATAGATTCCTGGATACCCCTCCCAAAAAGCCTGATCCAGGAGGTACAAAGCAGGAACAGGGAATATAGTTGTATGTGTGTGTGTGTGTGTGTGTGTGTGTGTGTGTGTGTGTGTTCAGGGTCCAGGCAATTGTGATGTCCTGTCTGGTTTGGAGCTCTCTAACCCTGAAGAGATAGCTTGAAGTGCCCCCAAGCAGCTCTGACCCTGTGTGTCAGGTGATGTGTGGCACTGAGAAGACAGGACGGGCACACGCCCGAGCATTGTTCTTTAGCATTCATTATCATGGCTGGGCTGCTCTGTGCTCCTGTCCTGAGACTGTCTGTACTTCACCAAGAGATAAGCAGTGTTTAGGAAGCAAAGAAAGCTAGGGTCAAGAGCTAGAAATCAGTCCAGAACAACATCAATTGTGTTCTAAGGTGATTTAAGTCAGTTCTCAAGAATTATTATTTCATTCCCTCTGCCTTTGCTTTTCAAACAGGAAAGCATTGATTCAGACAAAAGCAGGGGATGGGAGAGGCAGGCAGAAACTCCCAGTGGGGTGCTGGCTCCTCCCCTTCCCTCAGAAGACTTTCCCTTTCTTTCCAGTCTTCTTCCTTGGGTAACGGGTTGTTCTTACGTGATAGGGTCCAAAGAGCTGTTTTTGCCTCAACCACAAAATTCTCTGGAATTCTCTTCAGGGACGACTCAACCCTATAAAAGGGACTCCAGTGGAGTCAGGAGGAACTTGGGAGGACACTGTGAAGGACCCCGCTTGTGGCACCATGAAGAGCCTTCCTCTTGGCTTTCTTGTTCTCCTGATCTTCATCCTGAGTGTCCATCTCGGAGTTGCCACACGTATGGAGCTGTCCCACTCCCTTCTCAGGCAGGCTGGGAGGAGAAGCAAAGGGCCACCTCCAGGCTCCTTCCTTTCCCTGTTTTTTAGGTGGCAGCAATGTGGCCAAGTTCTGCTGCTTCCAATATAGCCACAAGATCCTTCCTTGGAAGTGGGTGCATTCCTATAAATTCACCAGGAACAGCTGCTCCCAGCGGGCTGTGATGTGAGTATTTCTTGTCTGGGCTTTCAGGGTTCCTACTGGCCATGTGATTGCATGGGTGCTGGGCACACCCCCACAGTGCCAGGATGAGCTCAGGATGGGAACCTGGTAACTTAGGTCATCACCCTGCCTCTGCCACTAACAAGTGTGACCCTTAGCCTTGGTTTCCTAACTTTCAAACCATGTGCCAGGCAATGTGCTAAGTGCTGGGTATAAAAGAGAGAACAGGGGCACCTGGGTGGCTCAGTTGGTTAAGCGTCTGACTCTTGGTTTCGGCTCAGGTCATGATCTCACGGTTTATGAGTTGGAGCCTTGCATCGGGTTCTGTGCTGACAGTGTGGAGCCTGCTTGGGATTCTCTCTCTCTCTCTCTCTCTCTCTCTCTCTCTCCCCCCCCCCCCCCCGCCCCTTCCCTGCTCACTCCTCTGTCTCTGTCACTCTCTCCAAAATAAATAAATAAAATTAATAAAAAATAATTTTTAAAAAAAGAGGGGGGCACCTGGGTGGCTCAGTCAGTTGAGTCCAACTTTGGCTCAGGTCATGATCTCATGGTTTGTGAGTTTGAGCTCCACATTGAGCTCTGTGCTGACAGCTCAGAGCCTGGAGCCTGCTTCAGATTCTGTGTCTCCCTCTCTCTGCCCCTCTCCCACTCATGCTCTGTCTCTCTCTCTCTGTCTCTCTGTCTCTCTCAAAACTAAATAAAAACTAGAAAGAAAAAAAGAAGAAAAAAACAACAAGGTGGTTCTAAGCTCCAGCATAAGTGCCCCCATGAACCTGGCAGAAACTCCATAACCTTCTATGACTTTGTCTGTGAGGTCACACACCATCACTTCTGCCACAATCTGCCACCGGTCAACCAGTCCCTAAGGCTGGCCTATATTTCTTTCAATGGGAGTGATGTCAGAGACATTCCCAGCTATGCTTTCAAATGTTCACAAAACTGCCTCTCCCTTATTCACCCCTCCCCACTTTGGGCTGTTTTTCCCTGCCTGTGCTGGGACCTGCCTGAGAGCCCCGTAAATACTACTGTACCCTACAAGTTGTTCCAGGCTAAAGTGCCCCGGACCTAGGTTCTCATCACCCTCAGGAGTGGTCTCAGGGGACAGAAGGCTGGAGGACATTCAGGGATATCAACCACGACCCCCCACTCTCCATGAGTGCACAGCATCGTGAGAGTGCAGGAATCCCGTATAAGCGGCCACGGCAAACAGCCCAGGATAATGTGGTTAAGAATTAAACAGCATGACAGGCTTTTATCGCCTGTTTTTGCTTAAAGATTTCATGTGCTATAATTCCACAAATTATAACGCCAAAAAAAAAAAAAAAGGAGAAGAATTAAGCAGCATGATGCATATGAGGTTCCCTTTGGGAGGTTGAGGCAAAGATTCTAAACTGGGTGGTAGTAATGTTTGCATCATCCGTGGATCTACTAAAAAGCAGTGAATTATAATTATATGCTTTATTTTTAGTTTTTTTAATGTTTTATTTTATTTTTGAGAGAGAGAGAGCAAGGGAGACACAGAATCTGAAGCAGGCTCCAGGCTCTGAGCTGTCAGCACAGAGCCCGACGCAGGGCTCAAACTCACAAACCATGAGATCATGACCTGAGCCGAAGTCAGGAACTTAAACGACTGAGCCACCCAGGTGCTCCTAAATTATGCACTTTAAAGAGTAAATTGCATGGTGTGTGAATTATGTCTCAATAAAGCTTTTCCATTAAAACAAAAGAATTAAGAGGCATGGTACGGGTTACATGCTTCGCACTAGAGCTGTTGGAAATGATTTCCTGGGGGAGGTGGGCCTGGAAGCATGGTCTCCAGTAGAAAACAGGGCCAAGGGGAAAGAAGGACCAGAAGACGGAACAGAAACTGTGTAACAGGTGCAGTAAGGCCAGCAAAAGTCAGTCAAGTGGCTGACCCTCCCTTTCCATCTCTTCAGGAGGCAAAAGTTCTCAGTACTGACTGTCAGCTTCTCTTTTCTGCAGATTCGTTACCAAAAAAGGCCATAAAGTCTGTGCACAGCCAAAGGAAAAATGGGTGCAAAGATACATTTCTTTACTCAGAGCACAGCAGCAAATGTGACCTGTTGAACCTTCAGCCCCAGGGTACCTGGACCCTGCTCTTGAGATTGCTATCCTTGGTGGAGCCTGGAGATTTTCTTCAGCAGGAGGCCCCATGGGCTGGAGGAGGAGGAGGAGGAGGAGGAGGAGGAGGAGGAGGAGGGGG